AGTGAGCACTTCTCTTCTGCTTCTGCCCTCTCTGAAGCATCTCGGGAAATGACCACACCCAGTCTGCTTGAAGGGCTTCTCACGCAAGCTGAAGAACAGAAAAAGTAGGGAAAAGCTGGTGTCCGTGGGAAGCTCATGCTGCTGAACCCCAGGCTGGGGCACTCTCTCTGAGCGTTCCAGGGCCCTGGAAGCTGTCTCCAATCCTCAGTGCCAGGCAGCGTTGGAGTGCAGTGCTTCTGCCTAGACTGTGAACAGCAAGGTCTACACCACAACATGCAGATGAGCCAGATGTGTCATCGGTCAGAGCTCAGGCTCGCTGCCACCAAATAGCTCACTAGACCCAACAACTGTGTGCTGCTCTTCTTGCTACACTTTATTAAGCACCTCCAGCTGTAGCTCTCCCTACCATTTTCCACAACACACTTCGCAGTCCCCACACAGGCCGACCACTGGGAAGAGAAGAGCTTGAGCCTGAGTTGGGGTCCAGCACAGGCAGGGGGCCGTGGGCTCCACTTCTCAGAGCTGTTGTTTCCATCTCTGCTGACATCTGCCCGTCTGTTCTCATGGAGACTCTACAAAGTGGCTTCCTGCTTCACACAGCCAGAGCTGGCGTTGGACAGCTTCCCTTTGAATGTATTGTATCTTGCTGTGTTTCTGAAACTCAAACAGAGCCACTAGAACCTATCATGCAATTCACAGGAACTAACATGGTTCAAGGCTCTCCAAGTGAGAAATGAGAAGAAGAAAAGCAAGAGAAGAACCTCTATTTTCTGATCCTGGGGTCTCTTCCAGATGTAAGAGTCTCACTTCAGAAAGTTTGACATTTGCTGACTCTGGGCCTGGCCTTCCCAGGAGAACACTCAGTCGAGGGAAGGGGAGGAGCCATTGCCCTTAGGACAGCATGGTCACACTCAGCCACACTTGCAGGGTCAGCGCTCATGGCTAAGATGCCAGGCGGACCTCTCTGCAGACCACTGGCATAGCTTGTTAGATATCTCAATCAGTCTGCAATTCCTTCCTCTACAACGAGCAAACACGGAGGGCTCCTTCCTCATCTCCTCCTTCACAGCCTTTACAGAA